TCAAACAATGACGGTCCGCGAATGTCAGCCTTAAAGTATACTCGAAACTTCGATTCGGATATCTCCATATTTTCAATGAGCCCGTCCAATGTCCGTTAGAACATCCGTTCAAATGGAAAACATTGTATGCGATAAATAATTCCACACACCTGAAAATATATCGCCGTCCTCGTCATGGTTTCCTGCGTCCTGGCTCTTAGTTGTTCCAGAACACAGGACACTCACTGGCACTGACACTCGCGCAGAGATACGATTCGATCGGAAAAATGTCTTAGCTAACGCGATGTCGACGAGAGTCCGATTCAATATTTCAACAACCGACGAAAGTTTAGATCATCATGGGATCCAATGGGAATAAATGTAAACGTAAATGTAAACGTAAACGTAAAGCATTTAGCACTTTCAACACAAATATCTTTTCAAATATAGTCTTTTCACCAATCGCGAGCCATTATCGCCCGCTAGACGAGCATATTCGATGAATCGAAAGATCACGACTGTCGACGCTCTCAAAATATTCCGGATCTACGAAGTGGTCAGATCATCAAAACCAACATCATGTTATTAAAGCGACTGCACACGTGATTGTTAATTAACGCCGCATTCCCGATCGACTCGTACATCGTACATCGCATATTGTTGCCAATGAACGCCTGGTTACAATGACGATTAGAAGCTGACTTCAGGATGGACTACAGGACGCAGGATATAGGCGACTTCAGTAGGCGACGAGGCCGACGAAGTTCCTTCATTTTTCTCCTTTAAATCTCCAAATGCTATTGAAGGTTTTGACGCAAATAAAAAATAATAATAAGAAAGAGATTACATATAAAAGAGGAAAAGTATATTGTTTCGTTTACCCATGTACCTATTAATCTTTATTATATTATTTGATACTTATTTATCACAATATTATATCTGCAACTGAACAAATTATACGATTAATACGTTGTTTATTAAAATTAAGAATTGGAAGAAATGAAATGCAGATAAATTATTGAGAGATAATGAAATATTAAATAATTCTTAAATATGTTCTTCTTCAATCCTCATAACGAAACAGCGTAAGTAACCATCTGCGGTATCAAAAGACAATAGCCTGTAGAGTGTAATACTTCGAGATTCTCTGTTGGTCCCTCAAATTCAACGGAGTTTGCAGATTTAATGTGAAACCAAACTTTCGACTCAAGTAGAGAAGATAGAGATTGATATTTTATTCCCGCGGTACTCAATCGTGAGATCCATAAACGATTTGTATTCATTGTAATGTAACGACGAAAGCAGATCTAAATTCGATTTTCGCGTAACGCGTAACGAGAATAATTCGCGATATGTAAAATTAATTAAGTCATGATAAGTATATTGTGTATAAAAATAAAGCTCTTACATATTGATTCGGTTATTTCCGATTCGATAAAGCGTATATGCTTATCAGAATTATCAAAAATTACTATTATCACAGTTGTCTTTATTATCACAGATTAAATTTACGTTGTGATTCGATAAGCCACGTTTCCGATTGCGCGTAATTCTAGATCATTTTACATTTCACACACAAACATACAGTATAGTAGAATTTCAAAAATCCAGATATGCGAAAGAGAGAGCACGAGAGAGCACGAGAGAGAACGAGAAAGAGAGAGAGAGAGAGAGAGAGAGAGAGAGAGAGAGAGAGAGAGAGAGAGAGAGAGAGAGAGCACAATAAAGAGAGATAGAAAGATATACATCATTGGACGTACAAAGTAATAGATCGCTGTCGATCAATCGAAGGATCAACGCAAATCGCTCAATTGCGACGTACGTTACGTTCGTTTCGTACGTATCACTAACGAGGATCAATACGCCAATCGAACCGGTATCGCGTTTGACCCCATCTGGAACTATCTGGCCTAAAAGTGGTGTTATCGATGTCAATGAACGCCCCTTATCTTAAAGACGCGATCGAAAACTGGTCCGGATCCTTTTCGCTAATCACCTAAACCTAGATCGATCACTGTACGAATAACGCTGTCAATTAGAGAGAAAAGCACGCGTTGTGCCCGAAAGCAATGGTTGAAAGGGACGGTTAAAGTGGTTTCGAGTAGTTAATAAGAGGATCGAACGCAGTAGTGCGCAGATGACGGAGAGGAGAGAGATGGAGTGTATTTCGACAGACAGTCCGGGTCAAGAGAGAAAAAAAATATATGTATATATAGAGAGAGAGAAAGAGAGAGAGAGAGAGAGAGAGAGAAAGAGAGAGATTGATTCAGCAACAAGCCAAGCGTGGAAAAGATTTAGTATCGCTTTATTAGACCAAGTCGATCATTGTGCAGCTTTTCTTTTTCATTGTGAATATACGTAATTATTGAGTCGAGAGAGAAAGAAAAAATATTCGTCGCACGCATGTCCTGGGACACTGGTGAACGATAAAACGGGGGTCCGTCCCCGTACACTCGCACATATTTCATCCTTCCCTTCTTTCGTTAATTTTACCGCTTTCTCGCATCTCGTGTTCGTTTCCGTTTTCCTTTTAATCGGTATCGCGCAGAAGAGATTAAGAGCGACTCGCGCGCTATGCCGAGGTACAGTTCGATGTACCTCGCTTGATTTTAGAAGCGGAGGGGGTGGTAAACGAGATACAAGTCCTCGAGGAAGAAAAATGAAAGGGGAAGTTGGAGTGAGGGGAGAAGGAAAAAAACGCGAGCGAGTAAAAGAAAATCTAAAGGTACCACCCTCTCCGCTAATCTTCTATCGGACTTGATATTTGATTAACGTGTCTTAAACTTTATTTTATATAATAACAATAATTAATATATATATCGCTAATTTTTATATATACATATATATACATATATATTACCTACGTGTATATATATATATATATCACCTGGGTATTATATATACATATATATATTACCTATGCATATATCATTAAATTGATCGTCAACTATACATATGTATAATATATATGAATTATATATATATATATGTGTATATACATACGTATATGTATGTGTATACACATGTACATGTGTACACATACATATATATATATATATATGTACATATATATATATCCTTTTATATTTATATGTTAGGGTTTCCTTTTTTCAATAACAGACTAATGATGCGTCGATATTAAAAACCAGAATATTTTCTCTCGTTTGCTACATCGCGATTGATTATGGATCTAGCTCGTGCTGATCTAATTTCCAAATGCGCACGCCTTTCACGCCTTATCGCGCGAGTTACGCAGAGCGCGAAGCATTACGCCAATTGTGAGATTCAGGGATAAAATCGCACCAGCCGAAGAGAAGCCGATGTATCGGGGATCCGCGGGATCACACCGAGAGTAACCGGCGGATCGCGTTCGAACACACATGGCGCGTCGCTTCGTGAGCCTTGTAAGGCCCGTATTACGCTTGTCGCCAATCAATTTGTCAGATGCGTTCGTTCCGCGCGAAGTTCTATCATTACTTCAATTAGCATTTTGTCTTATCCTTTATATATACACACGCATACACATATCTTAAAAGTAAAAGAAACAAACAACAAGAGAATAATAAGTTTCGAATAAAGATGATAACCAAATTTCCAAAAATATCTTGAAGGATTCTTAAACGGATGATAAAAATCTGCGAAATCTCTCGGATAGATCGATTAATTTAGCAATAGCGAAGTGTATTGCACAAGTGGGAAATTGGTGTACGCGACAAATTATACGATCAGAGGTAATACGGATCTTACACGGTAAGAGCGAACAGAATTCTAACTCGATACTATTGAAGTAACTGAAGAACGGCATGCACTCAGACTCGATTTATCATCCGCAATATAAGGGCCGCCTGTCGCTGCACCGAAAAATCCTTCCTGAGGCTCAAAAGAGTCACATGAGTTTCTTGATCATCTGTATGGTCTCAATGGCATCTTATACACTTAAAATCCCTCCTGTCCCGCGTAAATGAGATATTTTTTAGTTCAAAATGTCTATCTATCTCTACGTACCTATCCATCTACCTATCTATCTATATTCATCTATCTATCTATTAATCGGGAAAGATAGAGAGAAAGAGAGAGAGAGAGAGAGAGAGAGAGAGAGAGAGAGAGAGAGAGAGAGAGAGAGAGAGAGAGAGAGNAGAGAGAGAGAACTCTTAACACACGGAACGTCAGAGCACGTTATTTTTATACTAAGAAACAAGACATTTTCTCGAAATACGGAGGTGTAATTAAAACGGACATTTGAAGAGCTTTATCAACAATTAATCTCTCACCTAACGTTTTAATTAATCCAATTGCAATTGCTTGTACTTCACGGTGCGTAACTTCTTAATCTTTATTCGCACGAGAATAACACATCGTCCCGCCGGATTAATTTGTATACCATTTACCGTTTATGGCGGCCCTTACGTCGCGTTATATCGAGGCAGCCGAGAAGTCGCAGCTAGGAGAAGACCTAACGACTAAGTTTTCACAGCTCCTTCTAATTCTGCGTCGTTTGCTTTTTTTCCCCTTCCATATCTTTATTTCTTTTCAGGTGTGTTAACGCTGGCAGTAGCAGACACATTGAAAATCAACGACATTATAGTCAAAAACGATATCTCGGTATGATATATAAGCGATTGTTAGAAAAAAGGGAGGAAGAAAAAAATAATTTCCGACAACCACGTTCCGTCTTCCGGCGATCGAACATTGTGTATCTCGTTGATCCTCGAGCGGAAGGGAAAGATTAGGATCCCACATTGTCGTGGGATACACGTGGGATCACGTCGATGCGATGTATGCGACACGTCACGATAATTACCGAGCATACAAAGTCAATAATTATTTCGGCCCCTACAATCGTTTTTCAACGAGTATTAGATCGATCGATCACCGTTTTCCAAGGATCTGAAATTATCGTTACTTTCGGAGAAGCACTGTCGAAATCTCGCATCGTCACAATTACTCCGATTGTTCCTATAAAATAAAGGAGTGACCTCGAACCAATGAGGAAATCGATGGTGGGGGTGGGGGGGGGGGNATACGTAAGAAAAGATAAATATATATTAGAGATCCCGATGATTAAGTACATTTTTCGTTCTCGACGAATTCCCTTCTTAAAGTATTCCGTTTTTTCGCGGGAAAATGGAACGTGGAGGAAAGCACCGGCAGAGAGATTAAAACCGATATAATCTCGACAAGTTGGATCATGGGCGCTACAGAAAAAGAACGGATCCTCGGCGCGAGCGTTGCGTTTTCATCGTCACGAGAGTTGTCCAATTAAATTTTCATCGAGCTAACTGATAATAAGAAAACGCAAAGCGGTCGCTTTCGCGTGCTTGCAGCGCGGACAGTTCGGATTCGTCGAGGCGATACCGATTTCGGTCTCCCCGGGCACGCGAGTTCAGTATGCGATGGCGACTCCACGGGGATGCCAGAGCACGATTCTTCACGGTCGACAACGAATTCGGCCGACGCGTGTTCGTTAGAAAGCGCACTTGGAACCCCCGGTTCCTTCATTCTTTTAAGTTACAAGGCTCATAAATAAGAGGGAGCAACATAAAATTAAATAGAACTTACATTAATATCGAGCGAGAGTGTTCCTCTCGGTCTCTCCGTCCGTAACAACGTCATCGTCATTATCGTCATCGTCATTGTTATCATCATCGTCGTGTGTCCGCTCGATCGTTCGACGCTGTTGCTCGACGGAGAACATAAGTGTGGTTAAACCTATCTAGTGCTATTTTCGTACGCGGTCGTTATTAATTTCATTCCACGATGGAACCAAATTCCAACGGAAGTTTCTTTTTTTTTCTTTTGCCTTTTTTGCTTCTCTCTTTAGCGATACACTCAAGTGAGGATGGGATTCCTGTCTCTGGGACGCTTCCCAATGTCTCTGAGCCCCCGCAATTTCTCCCGAGCAGTCGTATATATGTATGTATGTTTGTGCGAACTAGAGAGAGAGAGAGAGAGAGAGAGAGAGAGAGAGAGAGAGAGAGAGAGAGAAGAAAAGAGACAAATAGAGAGAATCCGGATGTGTTGCTAGAGCCGTGCACTCCGTGAGGAGTCTTGCAGAGAGACTCGCAGGATCCGATTATTCGAAGAGAGTCGGAGACAAAAATGCAGATATAATGAAAGAGGTCGAGAGGGGGGAGGAGGGACAGAGAGAGAGAAAAGAGAGACACCGGGACATTAATGCTCGAGATTTGTCACAAAATCAAGTCGAAAAGACATGGAGGACTCGTGACTGGGGGCCAGATTGACACGGACAGCTCTTCGGATGGTTTCCCAAATGAAAATATTTTATATCTCCTTCTTCGCGATTAATTTTTCAATCGGTGAGTTCGAAAGAAGCAACGAGACACTTCACCAACAAATCTTGCGGAAATCAAATCAAATTACAGCGAACGCGCGAGGTTGGGTGAAATTTTCATTGTCAATTTCCTGAAAAGGAAATCCCGTTCTTTCAGCTTCGTGGACTCAATTTTGTCAAGTCGGCCTGTCGAAATTACAGAGCACGTAGACCTGGCCCCGCGTCACGGTGAAGTCGCGACAAATAGAAGAGACCGATGTGTGAGGGTATATAAGTACATTCAGCCCCGAGAGACGGAAATACCCCCCGACGGTGTGGTGGGGGAAGAACGCGGGAAGATCGAGGTAGATCGTAGATTGCGCTCGAGCAACGCTGAAACGCGTCTTGCGCCCCGCGGGAGACGACGGAAAGTATTTTTCTTCAGCGCACTCGCAAAGGGCAGTTAATAGTGTCAGTCCGCGACGATCGTCATGGACAATCGCGCTCTGTCGAGGTAGATTAGTGACACTTCGGCGTCGTCATCGTCATCATCGTATCTTCGACGAACCCCATCGGCTCATAGTTACATCGCGCGGTCGGACAAACAGACACATTTCACATTCAATCTCAAACAGACAAGCGAACGAGAGTGTAAGTGTGCCACTACCGACCATCGAATTGGCAAATGCTCGAAGGCAGACAGACAGATAGATAGAGAGACAGACAGACAGACAAAGACAGAGAGAAAGAAAGAAAGAGAGAGAGAGAGAGAGAGTAGCTGAGCGATTTTCTAAAAAGAGAAATGGTCCCTTATGAAACGATTCCGCTGAAATCGAGTCATTATTTGTTTCTATCGCGATCGAATATTGACTTTTAGGAGAGTATTTCTTCAACCCTTCGCTAAGGGTTCGTAACAATTTCGCGCCCTTACCATTATAGACGATATAGTAGTACCCTACCCCTAAACGAGAATATAGTAAATATAAGATAGGCTACGTAGGCGGTAACCTATACGGTCTGTATTTAATTTGCGAAGGATCTACGTGAATGAAGACCTAATTGTAGCGAAGATTGCTATCTTATCACCAATTATTGGTCGGTAAATGTAAGTATAGGTAGATAGATAGGTATACGGGGGGGGGGGAGGTAAATAAGTTATACGAGTTGTACGGGGGAGGGTCAGTTACAAGCGGACAAGCACTTAAGCGCTGTCTACGTGTTTTCAAGGACGAGTGGAGTACTATTTTCATTTCTCGCGGGTGCGCGAGTTCTTTCATAAATACGATCACTCGAAACTTATCACCGGATATTCCACGCGCAACAATGTCAAGGTATTCGTGCATTCACCTTACTTGAAAATGTTTCCTCAGGTTACTTGGGACCGATAAAAAATCGGGTAAGAATGTCTCAGCTGCCGGGAATAATGTTAACTGGTTGCTTTCAAGCCATCTCCCGATTATGGTTGTTTTTCGTTTCTTCTGTTCTTCTTTTAGCTCATATAGTTTCACTGCACACGATAAAAAAAGGAAGAAAAGAGAAAGAGAAATATCCGGAAAGACCGCACGCGACATTCCGCTAGTCTCAAGTACGAAAACAGTACTTTCACCCGGTACAAGTGTCGAGTATAGGAGAGAAGCGGGTAGAAAGCGAGACCCCTGTATGTATCTGATAGTGTGGCCCCATGTACGAGAACGTGTCATTCGCGAGGCATTGCGATGATTCGTTTCGCGGAGTACGAGGACCCAGGCGGCGAGATCTCTCACCGTCGACGCGCGACCACTCCTATCTCTATTTCCTTCCCTTCCGCCCCTCCCGCCTAATCATTTCGCGAACATCGCGCGTTAAGTACACCATAGCCCTCAATTCCTTCTTTCCCTTTTCAGTAGCACACAATTTGCGAATGTCCTATTTTGTTCGTTTGTGTAAGCGTATCCTGAATCGGCGCGTTTTTGACTTTTTTCGAGATCAAATCAGTTCCGCCGTCCCCGTTGAGCGAGTGATAAGATATTTCCGGCAAGGAGTCGGGAAAGGTAGCGGGAAACGAGAGAGAGAGAGAGAGAGAGAGAGAGAGAGAGAGAGAGAGAGNAGATGCAATCGAAGGGACAGAAAACTCGATGACCGGAACGAGCAAAGTTGCGATAAGTACGTTTTCGCGAAAAAGAGGTGGAAAGAGACGACATGGACGACAGATCTCAGAAGAGAGGGAGAGGGAACGAAACGCGGACACGGGAGTGTGTATTGTCCCTGTCGTCTACGTCCACGTGGGACGTTCCTCGCTGACCGACCCTCGGGCGACGAAACACTCGCCGTTTCGTCACGCCGACGAAATCGGGGCGAGACGAAATCTCGCGGAATGTACGAGGACAAGAGCACAGAAGGGAGAGAGTATATACAAATCCTTCTACACAGTAGAGGAAGAAGAGTGAGAGTCACGAAGAAGAAAAGAAGAAGGATCGGGATGAGAGACGTCGAAGCAAAGAACGGAGACAGGTAGATTCGAGACGAGAGAACAGCATGACACGGGGAAAATGCGGGAGAGTGTGACGATCGAAAGCGACGAAAACAAACAGAAAGGAATGGAGGGAGGTTTGATGGGACGACATGAAGAGATAAGAGAGAAAGAGAAAGAGAGAGAGAGAGAGAGAGAGAAGAAGATTCTTAGATGCTGGTCTCGTGCACGAGCTTAGTCAGCTCCGGTAGCACCAAGTTGTTGGAACTCAGGAGCAGGGAATTCCCGGTGTTGTCTCTGTTACTGCTCGTCTGCGCCGTATGGTTGGGGCTCAGGGGCTGATTGAGGGCGTTACTGGAGGGGAATCTATTGTCGGTAGTGGTGTTGATGGTGTAATGATGATTGTACGCGTTGGCCGGTCCAGTCACGCTCAGCAACAACGGCGAGGCGGGGCTGTTGAGGGACTGCATCCTGGATCCTCTGTAGTTAGTCTCGTAATCCTGAGTCGGCTCGGCACTCCTATTGGAGGAGGACCTGTTGGCGGCGTTCTGCGCGGTGTTTGTCGGGTCTTCGTCAATGTATGTGAAGTCAGAGAGTGGTCGGGGCCCGGTGTGGCTGCGTGAACTGCGCATACTGTGTAAGCTGTGTAAACTATGGACAGAGCGACGCTCCTCCAGATCTTCCAGAGTCGACTTGAACGCTCTGATTACTCGAAGCTGCAAAAACAGGGAAGGACGTTCTATCAGGAAGCGAGGAGGCAAGCCAGCAACACACAAGCACGCTATATTTTCGTTTCTTTTTGTCGCGCAGAAGAAGTGTGTGCGTCATACTCATGTACGTGTCTGTGTCTTTGTTCCCCTTTTCGCTATCGTCGTCGTACATTCTGTCCGGTTTCGTTTCTATTTTTTTTTTTTTCGTGTGTTTCCTGTACATGTATCAGCGTACACTGGTCCTGTCGTTGTTCTCGTGGCTGTTGTCGTGTTTCGTGGTTGCAGATGCGTTTTCATGTGTATTTATTCTACCAATTTTTTTCTCGTTTTTTTCCCTATGTCGCGAAAATTTTCTCCCCCTATTCATGACGTTTCCTCGATCGCAGTCGACTTGGTTGCATTTCACCCGAATTCGTGAGCTAATCGGGACTGACCGAGTTGCACGGGGGGGGTCGAGGGGCACATAAAACGTGCCGAATTACTTTGGATTTTCTCACGACCTCGCTACTACCATCGAGCCAGCTAGAATTACGGAAATGACCCGGCATCGCATGCGCAATCTACTTTACTTATGCGTACCTACCCTACACACGGCGACGAGGGTTTGTGATCAACGGGGGCAATTACCGAAGGGAGAGGGGGGGAGGAGGCAGCGACCGAATGCAGACGACGCGGACGTCCTCACGAAGGAGAGTTATCCCTTCATCTCTGAGATAAAGGTGTTAAGGATGCTAACGAACACTCAATGCCCCTTGCGATCTACGTGGTTGGCTGGATGACCTGCATCGGTCGACGTGAAAAACTACACTGGGGACGAGTCGAAGAAGGGAGCTTGATTTCGAGATGTCTCTCGTGGAGTTACTTCCACCGGCTTTCGCTTACTTACCACCGGATGTCGGACTTGGCAACCGCGTCGATTAAAGACAGCAGTGGTTCAGTCGGTGCTGGGAAAAGACGACCGGTCGACCGTGGTAAGTTCGAATCGACCATGGAAAGTGGAATAGTGGTGGTTGGGAAATCTCACGGGTATCACACGACACTTGTTTTCGTTGCGAGACCTTATTGTTGATTCGATCCACTCGCCGGTTACTATCCCAGGTTTTACTTTCCAGTAAGAGACACAAGTCTAATTCTAACATCATTTGTCCTTGTTTCGCATTTGGATAAGGAAAAGGATAACAGATGCCATAACTAGATTTGTTGTGTCTCTTGCTGGAAAGCAAATCTTCTATTAAACATCAAGTTTAACAGTAACATTGTATCAACGTTATAATTTCCCACTCAACAATATAAATGTGATATAACAATTGCATTATTACGTGGGAAATATAACATTACCATAACAGCACAAAAGCTAACACAACAGCATTGTTGCAACATGCGTAACATTGCTGCAATTTTCTGTGCTGCTGCATGTTGATGTTACCATTAGTTGATGTGTTTTACTGGTGTGTCATCGCTTTATGGTCGGAAGAACTCACCACGATTTGAGGTTCATTGGAAAATGCGACCTGGCGATGTCTTCTCGCCCACCTCGTCGACGTGCCGAGAGCTACATTGAATCTTCGACGATTCCGAGATGCTCCTCACCGATCGGCATCTATCTCGAGGCCGGTCCCCGTACTTCGTAGCATTATTAAAAACTTGGAAAAATCTCTCACAAAGCCAGGAGGGTTGAATCGACGGTCAACCCTTACTGGGCGATTCATTCCGAAGAGACGAGCGGGGCACTTGTAGCCGGGCAAGAGGCCATCGCGCCAAACGATAATTATCCAATTAGGAATGGTCCGCAACAGTCCTGAACCGTTCGCGAGCGAGTCTGCCGAAGCATTCGCACGCTTGTGACCGCTCCTTACTACTTGGAGAGTTAACAGAGTGTAGGGGTGGAGAGAAGTTCAGACAGAGACAGATATAGTAGTATTGCAATTAGTGTACGAGTAGTAATAGTAGAATAGTTAGTAATAGTGATGGTGGTAGTAGTTAGTAGTAGTAGTAGTAATTAGTAGTAGTAGTGGTGCTGGTGACGATGATAGTAGTGGTAATATTAGTAGAATAATAATAATAAGTGAAGCAAAGGAGCACTAACAGAGACAAGATGACGCACATTCGTGACAGAGAGACAGGATGGGTCGTTTCTCCCGAATAGCATAGTCTCTTCGGGTCACAGTGTATCCCGCACACGTAGCGAGTCGGATACGCTGCACGCGTTTTCAACATGGTAAAGCCTACTTCTTTGCACGTTTCACACGCTGTAATCACAGATTACGTATCCTATATATCGCTAAGTATTATGAATATTTCGTGAGGGACCATTCGGAGCGGGTGGAACGGTCTCTCTCTCGCAGTTTTTGTGAGAGTTTGCGCTTAAGATTAAGATCTTGAGTTGTTCAATCTCGATTCCGTTTATGATGAGTACATTATGATCCAAGCCAGTTCTCGTTTGTTGAACTCCAGAAGAGAACGCGTGAGTGCTTAAGTTGTCCCCTCACGTTCCCTTCTGATCGATAATCGGGGGGAATCCATAATTTCGCAATATATATATATATATATAGATAGATTCCCCTCGTTTCCTCCATTCTACGGAGATAAATAATGTAGAGATGTTTTAACTGCGTACAAGTTTCGATATGGCAGTGACTTTCCCGACACTGGACGCGAAGAAGTTTCTCTCTTTTAAGTCTGCATGATCGCATGAATCCGGTCTCTTTCTCGTGGAAAATAATGCATGCCGACAATCGCACGATGATTGTTCGACCGACGAGACCCTTCTCTTTTCACAGTAACACAGACCACATGGTGTAACGTGTTAAATCCTCTAATTGGCACTCGATACGAAAACACGAGGCGGTGTTAGATCTCGGGCAAACAGAAATCGATGCACAAATTCGCCAACCGTGCACACGCACACACTCGCACGCTAACAAACAGGGGAAGTGGGGGAGGGGGGGGGGGAGGATACTCAAACTGGGTTACGATATTATGATTCCCTTCCATGACTGAGTTGTAAAAGAATTGTAAAAAAAAAATAATAGTACATTAAATATTCTCCCATTTTTCGCGGAGAATCTCTCTCGGCTTTGCCCCGATGATTGAATATTTCTTTAAAATAAATTGTCTATCACGGCTCGATATAACATAATGAATAATGGCCTCGCTTCATACAGTCACGGAAGGATAATTAGTCATCGGCGTCCGTTCGCCGACTCCGTCACTCGCGAGAGGCTTCGGACGGCCGACCGAGAGAGTGTCGAGGGCTTTACTGGATCGAGTGAGGCCGAGCGAAAATCGATCAACACCTTGAACTCGGAGATACGCGTTGAATTAAACCGACCGGAAAATCCTGCATTTCTTACCGAACGTGGAAACCGAATTCCGGATTTGCGATCGGTCGTATTAGATGCAAGCTCGTTCCTCCGCATGCGAATAAAAATGCGAAATATGAATAAAATGCGAATGAAAATTCCGAATGTGAGCGTTTAATAGTGAGAAATAAATCGCCGATGATAAATATGCTCAGACCGCGCGAACGATCTCGCCGAAAGACGTCGATCAAACCCCCATTACGAGCCGAAATTTCTCTCTTCTCGCGTATTCCCTGATAAGAGGAATACTCCTCTTATCTCGTGACAAAGCACACCGTCCAGATGTCGGTCTAACTGACACGTTACCTCGATTACCACGGCACCGACCGAAAAAAAAAAAGATCCAGATCGATTACTGAGTCGTTCTCCGGTATCCGGATCACATTGAAAGAAGATAGCGTCGACAGATGGATCGACACAGAGAGCTTTTTGGCGGCTTTCTGGGGGGAAATTTTGATTTTGTGTCATCTCGCGCTAATGTAAACGATTTAGCGCGATGTCTACGAACGAACGGACGGTCAGCGCTCGCCAACGATCGTCTGACGAGAGTTCACATGCCGCATCCAACGAAATATAAAGAAAGAAATAAAACAATAAAATATCGGTTAGAAGAGATACAGACATGTGCCGAGGCAGAATCCGTCAGGGGAACGGTATCGCCGGCGCGTATACACGACGCATAAACCAGTTACTACGTTTGTAGATCGCGGCAGCTGTAATTCTGCGGCCATCAAAGCGGACAAAAAATTCGAAATAAAAATCGTGCAAAACAAATGTAAAAGAAAAACACGGACGGGCAAGAGCACGTAGATATCCGCAAAGGAAGCACAGCCTTGCGTCCCTTTGAAACCATTGAAACTTCGCGAGATTCGACTTTCTCTGCGTTTGCGCGAGAATCAAACGGACGTTTCAGAAAGCAAACCGAACGAGAAAAACTTGAAACTTATTATTTCCTTCGTGACGGACGAGCGTGCGCGGAAGTTCCCGGTAAATTATCACGTACGAGCGGCACACCTATTGGCATCTAAACATCGAGATGAACCGCGCGTGCCAAAGTTCACGAGGGCCAGACGGATGGGACAGGACGGTGGGGGAAAGGGGGGGGGGGCGGATATGGAAACAGAAATACACAGCACACTCATACACTATGCTACTGAGAAAAAAATAAAGCGCGGGTGGGCCGGTGGATCTCCGGGTATTGTCGCGGTCCCCGAGAAACGACGGGGGGCCACCGACCACCCCACACCCCGCTACAAAAAAAAAAGACATTAGTGTGAGACGTAACATCCGTTCATGTCTATATATCCGTGCATCGAATCGAATCGTCGCCGTCGTGACATCGCGGACCGAGGAGACGCGCGACGACTTGGGAAACGAGCGTCGTGTCGTCGTCGTCGTCGTCGTGATTATCAACCCATATAACCATCATTATTATCGGGGTCTCTCCATCCGTTACTATCGATCTCTGAATGACGATCTGGCGATTCGGAGATGTGATCGAGAGGTTCAACTTCCGATGCCACGGACGGTACGCAAAAGTATTCTTCGTCGTCGTCGTCGATCGGGCGCGAACGAACGTAGAGATTCTTTTCGCGCGCCTTCGTGGCACGGCAGTATGAATTTAATCAAAATGCACTCGATATT